CCATGAGAATGATGTTTCTGGTTGCACGGTACGTAGAAACTGTCGTCAATGATGAACCTTATGTCGACTAGTGACATTACTCTTTCTCTTGTTGGTTCATTATCTTCTTAATAAATTCAGTTTCAGTGCCTGAGTTGTATCACAAGACTTCATTTGGTATATACGTTCGAACATCGTTCACACCAGGCTTTCATCTCTTCAGTTGTGTTTTTCTTGGCCATTTTCTGTGGAACAAGGTGCTCCTGATTTACATGGGAAGTTAAATAGTGGAGTCATACTTCAACTCCATAGCATGCCACTCTGTAGGTCTCCTGCTGATCAGTTGTAACCGGTGCTGTCCTAGTTAAGTTGTATCAGTCACCTTCTTTCTACGATTCTATTCTATTCTAAGTGCATTGCATATTGTTATACGTACATCCTAGGCAATGGTTTGCCCATGATATTCTGAATATATCACTTTTTTTATTGTGTAGGTCAGTTCTTTAATTAGGTAACATGAGCTTTGACTACCTTATCTGGCTCTTTGGATGTGGTCAACAATTAACTTACTCCACACACTTACGATAAAAGGTGTGTCATATCTCAGCATTAATAATGAGAGTCAAATAATGAGACTATATTTATTTCCAATGTCATATTTAATTTGTATTCTATTAGTATTATAATTAGATTCTATTTTTTTATGGGCTTAAATTGCAGTAAACCGTTGACTATGTCATCCTTTCATTTTTTTTAATCAACTGATGAGAGTAAATACAATGGTTCAATTTGTGTTCGTATGTCCTGAGAATTCTGTCGACTGCCATGAGCAGGAATGCTTGAATTTTCAATTATAAAATCCGAATTGCATGGTAGAGAGAAGATTCGATTTGTCGGAAGACTATTTGACTACATTCCTCATCATCGTTTACTTCAAAGGTGCATGTAATGCTTTTTTTATTTTGTCTTATTGATAATGGCTGGTTTTTAATTTAGTTATATCACGGAATCAAATTCTAGCTGTTAAAATGGCATTGCGTTTTGATGGTCTTCAAAGGCAAGAATCCATTTTCATCCATCAATTTTCGACCCCTTCATAACAAACCGCCATACGTACTTGGTGAATCATGCACAGTTGATATCACTTGTCCCATTTAAGGTTAAATTGTGGAATCATAGTAGATATAAGTAAAAAGCTTGATCTTCTACAGTCATGTACTCATCTCTACATTTATCTTTTCATTTTTCAAATAAATAATTATGTAATTTATTGCCATCCATTGATATTATTTAAAAGTATTTACACTTAAACCATGTACCACCATAAAGTAAACCATGTTTAAGAAACATGCTGTTGAGAAACACCTGTGGCGTTAAGGGCTAAAAACATTAATAAATAGTACTTTATACACCATTATTCATCCTCGCAGTTTTATACGCATGCCAAAATTGCTAAAATAGAACATAATTATAATTAATTATTATATTATTTATTATTATTTTTATTATTGTATTATTACATTAATTAATTATAATTATCTTTTTTAAATAATAATCTACAAATTGGACTAAGTAACTGTAGTGCAGGAAATTTTCAACCATATTCATTTATCTGTTCCTTTGAAAAAATTTGTTTTCATTTGCTGAAAATTAAAAATTGTTAATGACAAAATTGAAATTTCTGCGAACACTTTCTATACAAAATGACTGATATTTTAAGCATTATACTATCTGAGCTTCTGTCCGAAGTATAATCTGGTTAGTTATTTTTTAAGTAGACTTTTTAAATGTAAACAAAAATGAAAACACCAATGAGTTATAATTTTAGAATTATTAGCAGCCTATAGCTGTAGTATTATATTTGTATTATTGCTCACGTTTTCACCAACTGAATGTTCAAATAGCTTTGACAAAATATATATACGTATACGTTAACTGATAATGTGCACTGCTCATTAGTGATAGATGTCAATGTTAAAGCTATTGAGTAAAACTTTTAACAATTTTATTATTACTATTTATTTATTTTTAAATTTAACAAAAGACACTAAATAATTAGAAATTCAGTTGTTTCTTGGTATAAAAATAAATTAAATCATTAATTTAACATCATTTTTGAAACATTGGTTCCTATTGTTAAATCATTATTTTCAACGAAATTGTAATTGTTTTTCTAATTGTATTGTTTAGTAGTTTGTGTTATATATAGATGTATTATTATATGCAATATGACAATACTATTTCTGTTAAAGAAATAAACAAATTTTGAAAACTTCTTGTCTTTTTGTGATGTACCGATATCCAATGAATCCATTTATCACAATCAATTATATGAATATTGTCTAAAGAAAGAAAAAATAAATTAAATTAAAATAAAACAGAATAATGTGCAGTGAATTGAGATTAAATGTTATGAGATTCCTAAAAAAAGTCCTGGATATTAAGTATATTATTATTCTAGCCCTTTTCAAGATTTTATGATGTAGGGGCCAACATCATTGGTTAGATTCTCCAGAAATCTCTGAGTACTTGAATGAAATACCAATTCCTACAAGCTTAACTCTGCATGTACATATTGTACATGTCTCACATATTTGTACAGAATTGAACTTATGATTTCTGAATGAATGACATACACCTCGCGTTTTGGCAGTCCAGGGACTGACCGCAGTCTTATCATCCATCTGCTGCTGAAGTTCCAGGATTCAACCAGCTAGCATTTCGGACCCCAATGGATGCAGTTTTTAAATCCACGTACTTTTAAATACATTCTTTCATATTAACAGTGAAGTATTTGATAACCAATCTAAAAAATCAAGGCTAAGGCTTTGAAAGAAAGAAAAAATACTCGGTTCCTTTGTCAAGTTTCAAGGAATATATCCTCTTCATCAGAACTTTGAAACTACTAATAATTTACATGGATAACAAATACAAACATCTACTTACAATATTAAAAATTATGACTTCAACCATAATTAATTTATGAGTTTTTGCTTAAAAGAGTGGACGAGAATTCCCTCCCGTCCATTCTACATTCTTTCTTTCAAATTTGCCTTATCTCTAATTTTTGTATACAATTAACCCTGAACAGTACAGTGGTTTGAGAAGAAATACAGGTCAAATCTGACCCTACCTCTTTTTGATGTGATTTTGGGTAAGGTAAGTTCACATTAATCATTTTATTGTATAATAACATTTATTGATAATATCTTACATGAATAAAACCTTTTTATACAACAATTTGTTGTCTTGATAGATGAACTTTACAGTTCCATCTGGGACTGTCAAAAACAGATAATGAAAGAGCGGTTCACTGTATGTAAGCATTGTTTTCTACCTCTTATAGTATGACATGTTGACATGATGTATTAGTGTGAAACTATTGTTACCAAGACATTTTTGGATCAAAACTGCAGAAATAAGTCTTTTGTAATATTAGGAACATTATTGGTATGCTCGGGAAGGAAACGGCCTGGAATTTATTAGGAAGTCAAATTCACTTATCGGATAACAAGTCTACACTAGATGTCGGACAACTTGCAGGGATCGACAATCAAACGGGATGGTTAGGGAAAAGTAAAATGAACTGCTAGGTCAGATGGATCAGATCATACTGTACCATTTGAGGGTTAACTCAACTCAAATTTAATTACTCAATATTCTGCCATTGTTCCTCACTCTACACATTCACAATAATAAACACATTCACTCTCAATACACACAAAAATGAAACACAAGATATCTATGAATATCTATATATACAATAAAACAGCAGTTTTCTCCAAAAATCAGAACATAGGACCTCAATGTGTTCAAGCAGAATTCTAATATCAGGTGGGATTCCTACTCGCTCAATTTCCAATGGGGAGTGGGGCACTCTAAACACAACACCCAAGAATGACACATCTATGCGGAAAACAAACACTTTGAGCACTGAAGATGACCTCAATAAAGACCGAAACGTTGGCACGATAAAGAAAATGTTTTTCTAAAACCTACCTCACACCAGACCGCATTCACGATTTCCGAATAATCAATAACTAATGGTCACTAAAAACCACACATTCAATTTTATGTGAAAGACATTGAACATTTATCTTCATGCAGGAGAGATATGTAGGCTTTTGTCCCAAAAGTAAAAGTAAGTGTCCGAGTGCGAACCTCACATGGCCTATTCTTTATTGGGTATGATCCCTGCTCTATTGTTCCTTTGAAGACCACCGAGATCTTGATACACAAGAGCTTCTCTGCCGATGCTTCCATTTTGTTTTTTAATTTTTAGCATCAAGAAGACGTGGTGGTTAGTCACAGGTTGGGACATCCCAGCTTTAGTCACTTTGTGGCGTTGTTTGCCTTTCGTTATCCTTCAGCACTGTCTGGGGATTCAGACAAGCACCACAATTCTGGTGAGATGCTCCAGTTCAGAGTATCTCTCTAAAGTAAAATTTTATCTGACTGTTTACGCTGATAATACAAACTATTTTGTTTATATAAAATTTATTATCATAGTTATTTTTGTATTTATCAATGTGAATACTAATTTTCATGTGAATAGCTATATTTACCACCGCACTGACTGCATGGTTGCAGAGGGAAATCAAACAGTTTTTAAATAAAAATCTTCAATTTATGTTTTTATCATTCTGACTATACCAAGGCTTGTTACATTTAATTAATGAAAGAAGACAAAAAAACAGGTTAACCAGAGAAATAGAGAATTACTAATAGAAAGTTAGTGTTTTGTTATGAAAGAAATTTATTAAATAGCCAAATTTACATGAGCTGTTTTTGTTTTGACTACTCTTCCATTTTTTATTTTCCAGCATCACAAAGAAAACTAAAAACTAGGAAGAAAATACCATAAATCTGTTCCGTGTTAAAAATGCAATGACACTAACATAAAATTAAAACACATTGTAAAAAAAAAAATTATGTACATGTAACATTTCATTTTCTTAACCTTAGCAATACTAATCATAACATCAGCTAAAATAATTATAAAAATGAAAAAGCAATGTAAATAATATTCAAGACAAGCAAAACTGCATGTTTCATTTAATGTATATACAATAAATAACATTATGAATAAGAAAAATCTTGTTGTTTTTTTAATATATTTTTTAATATCTTGCATGGAATCACATGTTTTTTTCCTTTAACGGAACAAAGATCAGAGTTACTTATCAAAATGTTTAATTGTTTCTTTTTTGTTTGTTGTGTGTGTAATACATAAAAAAAATGTTTTTTGTCATTGCTTTTATTCTGTCGAAGCCATCGCTCTCGCTTGAGCTCTCACACGTTTCTCATACTCCATTCTGTTCTGGCTAAAAATACAAAAGAAAAAAAATATTAAACCGATCTATTAAGTTTTAAGTTAAGTCTTTAATAAACCCACCAATAAATTGTGTAGGCTTCTGCTTGTGCTGGATCTTTAATATTTGGTTCGTTAAGTAGATCTTGAATGCCAAGTAGGATCTGTTTGATTGTGATTGCAGGCCGCCAATCCTTTTCTTCATCTAGAAGAGATAAACAGACTGTGCCTGTACAAAAAACAAAAACAAAAAAATCAATTAAAAACAGTCAATTTCCCCTTAAATAATATAAAAACAGACAAAACTGACCTGAAGGGTATACATTTGGATGGAACAGGGGTGGCTCAAATTTACATTTTGGAGGACTCGAAGGGTAATCGTCTTTAAAGATCATCCTCAGTTTGTAACTCCCACCTTCCCACGGTGTCTGTAAGTTATGAGCGAGTGTCAATAATTTTTTAAAAACCCGTAGGTCATTCGATTTAGTAAATTGGGTACTTTTGAACCAATAATAAATCTTGAATTTTGATTTAACACCCCATTTAAACATGTATTTAAATAATTATTCAACATAAAATTTAATCCTTTATTTAAAATTTTTTTTAGATAATATGTATAGGATAATCTTTAGTTGATACAAATAAAATGAATATTTATAAAAAATGAATGTTTAGTCGTGTTGTTATCATGTTTTTCACATGTTCAAAACTGAATGGCATGAAAAACCAGCTTCTCATTGGAAGGCTTGCTGCTTGGCATTGGTGGTGGATTTACAAATCACTCCCACAATTCACGTTGAAAGCCAAGATGATGAGCATTTAATGCTCAAAGTCAGGATAGACACTAGCAACAATTTTGTACAATTAACAACAATCTGTTACAAAAAGTGAAACAGCACCGTTCTTTGTAGCAACTTTTGCTGGAAGGTCCACTATTTCATTTTCACAGATGTCACAATCTCCCAGACTCCAGCAAAAAACAACTTTATAATAAGACTAATTTATCATTTCTGTTAGCAAATATTAGCACTTGGTCTGGTTAAATTGTTCTATTTGATTGATTGAGTGGGGTTATTTTTTATAGTATAAGTCACCTTTTTTTATTAATTTTTATCTCTTTTTCCCCTTGTATCTTAGCATTCAGTAATACCATTGTACACCACTAAATTTTCTCTATTTTCTTAATGGCCTTATGAACTCACATATTTGCCCGAGTACATAGTTTTGTTTCATCATATATGCAGTTGGAGGAAAGAGTAGCATTCCCAAAGCAAAAGAGATTAAAAAAAAAGGACCAGGGGGCAGTGGGAATGACCGCAGGGTCTACGAGCTGAGAGCCCATCATGCTAACCACTCGGCTACTGCAGTCCCCTATTTTCTCCAGTTTAAATGGAAAATAGATAGAGATTACTGAAGGCCTATGACGGCAGTTTTGACTCAAACGTTTACTGAAGAGAAAACCAAATCGGTGGGTCGTTTATTCTAGAGAGAGGGACATGACAGATGGTGCGGTGGGTCGACAAGACCCCCACCAGCGAGTGAGTTTTGAAAACGCATTTCCTGGAATGGTTCCATAGTATTCCATAAGCCGTGCCACACATATCTGTTTTGTACCTAACTACAACGTAAACCATCTGTTTTTAATTTTGTTTTTATCTTGCATTTATTTATTCATTTATTTTCTACATGAACCACAATTGTATTACATGTAATATAGATACATTATTAACTTTTACATTAATTATGTATAATTTTATTATATATATAATAAAATTACATTTAAAATTAATTATTTATTGTTCATTTACCACAAGTTATAATTTTTAGGAATTGTTTAAACGCTGTTATATTATTTTCACAGAGGTTTATTTGAAATCTGTCCAATCCATTGGAACAAGAGATGATCCACATCTTGAACCTTATTGCACGCCAGTGATGTCACTCCAATTCCTTGCAGATATTTCATGTTGGACCCATGTACAGTGAGAGTCTCTGATAGCCTTGTCATTATATTGAGAGTCAATCCAATCCTGTCTTATATCTTTCGAAATTTTCTACTTTTTTTATCTTGATGATTCCACAATTCCAAGCACAAATTATTATAATGCTGTTTCTGTCTTTTTCCTAGTCAGGTGAATGAACCCACATTCAACTGTTTATCTTTCTTCTTTCAATTAGTAATATAGCAGGGACAGTAGAAGTACTTGTTTTTCATCCATTGAGATGAACTCCTTCGAAGTAACTGACATGATACCGCTTGGGAAACTGCAGCGTCTGTCAGTTATGAAAAACCTGTCGTGTTAAACGCTAATTATACAGCTAAAGGATTATTACCCAGAATCACATCTCTAAGTCATGAATTCTTTCACCTAAAAATATCCAAACATACAAACAAATCTTAACTAACAACCACTACCATAAAACATAATCAACAGAATCATAAACAATTATGACCCAGTACTACACAAAACAATATCCTCTCCAGTACTCAGAACATCATCAATTCAATCACACAAAGACAAACAAATATAAATGTCAATTCAATTCGTCCACACATTATCACACAAACTAAGTCAATTTCTCTCCTCAGAACACATTAAAATAGCTTTTAAAAACCACAAATCAGTACATACTTTTTTCCAAAGTCAAAGTCACAACACCAACAGCCTTTAAATCCGAAGTAATTTATAAAATTAATTGTATTAACTGTCCATACATTAGAATTACATCGCAATATCCGGAAAAACAGAAAAAACACATCTATGACTGTAAGACACCAAAAACTAATCCTACAGCATTGGCAACACACCATTTCAAAAAACAACACAACTCTGATTTCAACAAAATACAAACACTAAACACTGAAAAATTCACATGCAACTTTCCAGAAATGGTTCACATTAACAGAAACATACACAGCATTAATTGTAGTTTATTTGTTAATTCCACAGAACAGATAAATGCAAACTTACCGTAGCTACACCTATATCATAAAGCAAGTAAACTATTAAACTTTATTTTATATTTCCCTTTCCTTTGTTATCGTCCTTAATAATTAACCCCGAATCACAAATCCAATCCAGACAATCCACATTCTCGGCTTCCTTCAATTAAATAAAACTGCTTACGATCAAACAAAATTTTCCAAAATGACTGCATCCCCCACTCTGTCACAATCATATAAAAACAGCAGAATATAAATTCGCATTTCACAATACTTTCACACAAAACCAATATGACACCACAAGAATAGCACTACACTTTATGTAAGTATGATATACTTGGTTTAAATCCATATTTACATCTGTACTGTATTTTTTCCATACAAAATATGTTTTGTAATTCACCCAGGCCCTGAAGATGACCCGAACAATACCCGTTATTTCTCCAGTGATGAGGTTATATCTTGCAGTCTTTTTAGCAGTTGGGGTGTCAGTATGTTTGGGTCAAATTGGTGTCATAGGCCTTTAGTACTTAGTAGTTTAAGTAGTAGGCTTCGGCAACGTTACTGTAAAGAGCTTGATTTGACCTTTTGAAATTATTATTAATGTACCATCGGAGAGTCTTTCCAAATTAGAGCGATAACGAATGTGTTAAAGATGTCTACAAATTGACATTATTAAGTTTTTCTTAGACTTTTTAATTTCTTTGAAGACTAACCTAGATTGAATATTGCCAATGACTGTTTCATCAAGACTGTGCCGAGAGCCAGATTATTCATGACTTAACATGTGGTCAATACAACTAATTTTATACAGAAAATTAAAATGATTATCAAATCAAAAGTTGAACAAAACTGAATCAAGTCGCTTTCAACAGTTGAATTGTGAGAATATTTAAGTTTTTGTCTCCCCAGGAAATAGGAAAAGGGTTAAAATAATTGAAAACATACTCCTTTTTTGCCAGGTATGGCGCACTCCCAGTTCATGAGGTTGAGGCTGCCGTCCGGGCTTTTTGAAGGTCTCGCTACAAAACCCTGAAAGCGGATAACAAATTACGATTTACTCATTTCCAACTAAAGCCCTTCGTACTCACAAATGGGTGGTCCTTCCTCCAGCCTTTCCTCTCCTCTGACAGTCTCGAGATGGCAATTCCAGTCATGGCTCACCTGAACGTCATAAATAAAAATGCGAAAAGAGAAAATTGACGAATATTAAAAAATATATTAAGAGTTAAAATCGAATGTGGCTATTTCGACATCGAGCCTATTCAGTTTGAAATAAACACAAATATTTACATTGTTTAAAACAAGCATTGTGGCGAACACTTTTTTGAAGTTTTTGTTTTGTTTTTAATAGTAAAACAGTAAATCATTGTTGGGAATCAGTTAAAAACAGGGTTTGTTTGGAGATAAACATAAATTTTAGGTTAACTGGAGTCGAAACGGGGCCGAAAGAGATTTCGAACACTAGTTGAAAATTCTGGCTTTTCTCATAGAAAACACAATCAACGCACCTTTTCGAAAACACGAACGGCAGATAAAGTTTGTGAAAAGATCTCTTTCCAACTGGGTCTGGAATGGGTCTCCAATAAAACCAACCGCTCTAAACTCCTCGGGCTTAGGGAACTCGGATGGGTCGGTGTCACAAAATGGAGGCAAAGCCGCAAAAGCAAAAGGGCGACTGGCAGGGGAAACGGGTTGCCGACCGGAAATGCTGCGAACCAGTCGCCGCGAGCGGAAGGAAAAGTTTAAAAATTTATTGAACACACAAAAAATTGTAAAAAATACCAAATAAAATATCAAAGTTTGAAAACGTTTGACATGGACAAATCTGACAATTTGAAACAAAATATGTTTACCTGTTGGGAAGGGGGGGAATTGCAAGTTTTGCAATTTAAAAAAAATTAAATTGCAAACCCGAAATTCTCCTCCTGCTAAATAGGTAAACACATTTTGTCATTTATTCCTTATTCCTCTGAGAATAGGAAATTTCCGAAAAATTATAATTTTTTTTTATATAATATTTATCCAAACCAAAATATCTATTCAGAAAAAAATTAAATTGCAAAACCTGCAAATCCCCCCCCAACAGGTAAACATATTTTGTCATGTATTCCTCTGAGGATAGAAAATTTCTAAAAAAATTATAATTTTTTTTCTTATGTAGTACATATCCAAACTAAAATATCTATTTAGAAAAAAAATTAAATTGCAAAACTTGCAATCCTCCCTCTCAAACAGATAAACACATTTTGTCATGTATTCCTTCGAGAATAAGAAATTTCCAAAAAATCATAATTTTCTTATATAATATATATCCAAACTAAAATATCTATTTAGAAAACAATTAAATTGTAAAAACTTCAATCCCTCCCCCAAACAGGTAAATATTTTGTCATGTATTAGAGGGAGAATAGAAAATTTCCAAAAAATTATTTTTTTTCCTTATATAATATTTATCCAAACCAAAACATCTATTCAGAAAAAAATTAAATTGCAAAACCTGCAATTCTTCTCCCCAAACAGGTAAACATATTTTGCCCTGAATTCTTCTGAGAATAGGAAATTCTCCAAAAATTATCATTTTTCCTTACATAATATATATCCAAATCAAAATATCTATTAAAAAAAATCAAATTGAAAAAACCTGCAAATCCTCCCCTCCCAAACAGATAAACACATTTTGCCATTTATTCCACTGAGAATAGGAAATTTCTAAAAAATTACAATTTTTTTCTTATATAATATATATCCAAACCAAAATATCTATGGACAAAAATTTTACCTTCACTATCAAGCAAAAATAGCAAAAAATTAAAAAAACCTTTCAAATTTTCAGTTTGATTACTGACTCATCGATTTTCAGAACCAGGAGTTTTCCTCTTACATAACAAAATGCACTCAGCAAAGAGCCGGTAAAATCTCCAAAATACCCCCTTAAAACAAATAATAATAATTTCGGTGAAAATATTTATACTATTTTCATAATTTCAGCCTACAGCTTTTAAGACAGGTTGTTCTTTTTAACTTGTAAGTTTAAATTCTGGAAGGGGGGAAGAAAAAAATTTCTTTATTGAAATTAAATATTTGACTATAACTAGAAAATAAATGAAAAACAAAATAAAGAAAACCCCTTTTCACTTTTTTTTTCTTAGACAAATAACAAAAAAACTATTTATCCTGTCCTATTATGCGATTGATATATATATATATAATCCCATATCAACTCTTAAGCATAAAAAAGAGACATATTAATTACTACTAAAAACAAGTAGTACAACGAATAAAAGAAAAAAAAAAAAAAAAACAGCAAGAAGAAACCATTTGGTTTTATGATTGAAACACAAATCGATGATAAGCGTTATCAATTTGTCATGGTTTCTGATAAGTTTTTTTAGGAGATGCTGAGTGAGTTGTTTTGGAGAGAATAGTTCTACAAAGGTTTTACTCATGATTCATCATTTTAATTCTATTTATTGAAATTGTTTACAAATGAAATCATTGATGTTTAAACGTTGAATGAATTAATATTTATGTTTCATTCTCATATAGAGTATTTAAAATATGTAATTTTCTGTTTAAGTGGTTTAGAAAGGCAGTACAATACTGTTTATTAATAGGCCAGTTGTTTATTATTATTATTGTTATTATGACATGTACTTAAAATAAGGCTGTTTAATAATGGAAGTGCCGTGTGACTGGGTTTCCAAATTGAACAACATCGTAATCCAGGATGACTATAATTCAAACGAGTTAAACATAGTTCTTGACAAGTTGATTGTAAATCTTCATTACAAGTCGACAACTCTAAATGAGAAAAAGGTACCGAGGGTGATTGAAGGAAAAAACAAAAAGTCCAAGTTTTTTTATTTGTGTATATTTTAGAATATTATTAATACAATTGAAAATTGCTGCAAGCGTATATCATCAGATAACGCCCTGCTTGTCGCTAAGATTTGCAATCTGATTTACAACGTGACGTTTAAGCAGAAGGTGCATTTTGAGAATGAGCAGCTCGCCGTTATCGTACCCTGGCTGTCGAAAGCGATACAGAATTTCGCTGATATCGCCTTCTTGGACATACTTCAGGTGACGGAGGTCTTGATTAAAAACCATCCTGACTACTTCTCCAAGGTAAAAAAACTATCTATAAAATTTAAAAAAACACTAAAATATTTTGTTAACAGGAACCTAGTGACTTGCTTAATGCTTTGTTGCTGAATCTTGAAAATAAAACGACAATTACAGACCCGTTTGATGTTAAACTGGCAAGGTTGTCTAATTTGAAAGCTATGATTCAGCATGCGCCTAAAAACAAGCATAATGAAATCGCAAAGGTGCTTTTGGAAGATTTATATACGTTAAATACTCATAAAGCTGATATTCAAGCCAAGGTAAATCAAAATTGATCTATTAAATTTCATATACACGGTCGTGCAGTTTTCGACGCACTTTAGGTGAAAATTTTTGCTCTCTGCTAAGTTCATTATGTACTCGTTAGGCACAGCATAGGTCAGACACTTCTGATTATTAATGTACTAGTTAAATGTAAGTTACTGATTTACCTGTAGATGACAATAAATAGTTAAATTTTATTATGTTTTGGATAACAACAGAGCAACACAAACTACCAGGTAACCAAAAAAGTTTGTGCGGTTTTTCGTTTGCTATTGTTTTAATACCGTTAATCAACATTAATAGGAGGATTAAGTGTTTACATCACTTAATACAAAGAGGATAATGGGTCAGTTCATGAAGAAAAAGTGTTTCTTTCGTGTGACTTCAAAATGAACAAAAAAATGAATACAAATGATTCATGCATGCTTATTCTATGAATTTTAGCTCAGTATTATAAATATATAAACAATAAGTGAGCACACTGCCCAAAAGCGGTTAAAAAAATTTGCTTCTGGGAATGAGGTTATTAAAGGATGAAGCGTAGTTCGGCAGATTGTCTTTAATGACAACAAATTGATGGAAGTTAATGAACATGACAAACATGTCAGCAGCCAAAGTGTTCGCTCGGGCTTATGTCAACTTGGGAACACTTGGAAGCTGAGCAAATGGTTTCCTAATAAATTGATTATAGTAACAAGCTTTAGTTTCTAAACATTTATCTTTCATTTTTTGACGACAAAGCAGAGACATTTTTTGATTGGACTTTAACTCTAGGCGGTCACCAAATGATCATGCCCCTTTGAGGCGAAAATCAACGAAAAGTAGTGCTTTGAGCTTGGTGAAGTACTTTTTAAAATTTTTAAACCACTTTTGGATGGTGTGCTTATTTATTGTTTCATCACTGAGTGCAGTGCAAGTTTTATAAGCTGCCTCGGCCACCCTAGTTCCAAAATAAAATTCACAAAATAAGAACATATGAATTATGGTTTAAGGAAGAAAATGTTTCATAATTTATGATTTTTATTATAGTTTATAATTGTACAAGACACTTTTTCATTATGAACTTACGTGCTATCCTCTGGTATTATGTGACACAACACCTAATCCTCTTATGTAAATAGAAAGGTTGATTAATGGTATTAAAGTATTGATAAGTATTTTTATATATTCTTTTATATTTTATATTTTTTATTTTATAAGTATTTTATTTTCCCCTCTTAAAAGTTTTTTTGAAAATTATATTGGATTTTTCAGGTTTGGACCTCTATAATTGAATCACTTGATACTTTATGTTCAAAAAGCCAAGACTTTTTGGCAACTTGTATAGATGAAGTGATAGGCTTGATCATTGCAGCAAGTGAATTTGGGTTTGATACGGTTGTATCAGCTCCGCCCAAACCTTCGACGCCTACTGCAGTAATCATCCCTCCTCAGGTTATACTCACATCCGGGGAGGTCAAGGCGAAAGCCAAGGTTGTTAATATGCTTTTTGTATATTTAAAATGACAATTATAAAAATTTATTTTTAGACCACCGTCCAGATAAAGAAATTGTCCAAAGTGAAACAGGTCAATTGGCCCGAACAGCAAAATGAAAATGAGATGGAAGACAGTATCATATCAAGAGCAAGCGTTGACGCTTATCGCACTCTCTGGAATCACAGCGAGTCAGACCAGAGTGATTCTGAAACAGGGCAGGCCTTTCGTATTGCAAAATTACAAGCGAGGACAAGACACGCAGCTTTTAACTTGCTCATTCAAATTATCAAAGTAATATTTATCACTTTTACTCTCAACTGTTTTGCATAAATGAAAAATATTAAAAGGTTGTAGGGTGCCGCCCGCTTTATGGACATTACGCTCTTTTAATTGGAAAACTAACTGGCAATTTAAGAAGAGATGTGCATTACAAACCCAAAATCACAGCTTTGGCAGCTATAACGGCTTTACTTTCAAGTTCCAAAACTTTTCTAGCCCAAGCTCAACACAGGTTAGTTATCGTTATACACTAAAGATAATTAATATAATAAAGTACATATAATTTTTTGTGTGTCTTTTTAGGCCAAAATTTCATAAAGTTCTTCAGTTCTTTTTAAGTACAATTTGTATTTGAGTGTTTTGGTGCACTAGATGCTTCTGAAATTTTGACCTAAAAAAACACGATTATCCAATATAAGGAGAATAACAAATAAATAATAATTTACAATTATTAAATAATTAAATAAAAATATAACTCTTTGGTACAAAATTGAATATAAGAGAAACCACCAAAAAGCTTTTAAAAATTAAATTAAATGTTCAAAATGTCCACCTTTTTGAAGAAAAAAGCCTGATATCATTCCTGATAGATTCTACAGCTCTCAAGAGTTCAACCTGCTTTTCTCTACTCTTATTAAAGCACAGGATTCCTGTATCCTTTGTGAGCTCACCCTTAGTTTTGATAGGTACAGAATAAATTTCATTTTTAAGAGTCGCCATATTTAGAAGTCCATCAGGGTAAATCTTACAAGGGGACAACCAGGTTGTCACTGATTAGGACCAAACTTTTTTTGGTAATTTTGGTGAACGTATATGTCACTTCTTGTGAATAGGCGCTGGTTTTATCAAAAAATTTGTTTAAAAATTGAAATTTTTCATTTTTTTAAATATTTTTATTTTCCCTTTCTTCTTGCTCAAATCAAGTATGTGAAAAAATAATTTTTCATTTTTTAGGTAAATCGCAATAAAAATATTATAAAAGCTATTAAAGTATCAATAACCAAAAAAATTTATTTAGAAATCATGAGATGCGGTCTGGTGTGATGTAGGTTTCTGAAAAACATTTTCTTTATCATGCCAACGTTTCAATCTTTATTGAGATCGAAACGTTGGCACGATAAAGAAAATGTTTTTCTGAAACCTACATCACACCAGACCCCATCTCACGATTTCTAAATAAATATCGATTAACAGTCACTAATCACCACACAAACCAAAAAAATCTAAAAACCAAATATTTTTCAAATAAATTAGGTCATATTTTTTTTCATGAAATTAATATGAAGTTTCGTTTTAGCACCTCTGGAGACCCATAAATATAAATATTTATTTTTATTTAAATTTATTGATTTTTGTATGTACTATTAGTCACCGAAAAGTCAAATTTTTAGCAATCCAACGTTAATTTTACATGGCAAAAAATGTATGTATTTGAAGCTATTAGCAGGGACAACATTTCTATAAGTGTAAGTGTGTTGTCGGTATTTACAAAGCCTAGAAAATCTTACTTAACTACTACTAAACTAGACAAGAACTTTGGAAAATCACTTGAGATGCTTTATGGGAAAAATTTGTGAAATACTTTGTAAGCCGGTCCCTGTGCTAGAATAACAATATATAATTAGTTTGAACTACTACACAAAAAAGGGTATAACTAGGAAGAGGCGAACAGGAACAACGTGACGTCCCTTATCATTCCTGGAAACAACGCTGCAATAATCAAGCAGTTGGTCGAAATTTGTCACAGCACAGATGGAAGTGATGTGGTGTTGCTCACAAACCAGGCAAACCTAGCCCTGCAATGGAACAACACCTTTGGTTATATAAATTAGAATGTTGAAGGGTGTCACCGACCCAGACGGGAGCCATGGGATGTTTCCCATGAATCTGAAAAGCAAAGTTGCAATAGTTGGACAACTGATCAAATGAATAAGTAACGTCGAGTTATTTAGTACTGAAGGATGGTTGTCTCAAGGACAAAAATGGAGCGGACGTAAATCGGGGGTGCGTCAACCAGGTGCAAGACACACGTCTTTGTCTGTCCACCTGCGATGTGCGAACTCCCCCCCCCTGACTTTTGATTTTCTTTTCCACCTCTACTCCAGTTTGGAAATCAAAGTCAGTCAAAATCAAGGGCTCACATCACTGAGTCAGAAGTCAGTGAACATTCGACTCCTGGAGTTGATCCAGAAACGAAGCAGCTATACTCTGTCTGGGCCTTTACAAGGGGACTAATCTGGTCGACGGTTGAGAAAAGATGTTGAGGACGTTGTGGGCGCCAATTGTGGTAAGCGTCATTTGGGGTGTCCCTTTGTTGATAAGTTTAAAAATACAATAAGCCAGAAGGCTGCAGTGCCTAGGGAGCACAAACCCCGCTTCCTAGTATCATCCTCCTTTTGTTAATAGACTCATCCCAGAGTTGTGGCTGACTTTTTAGATTAATTAAGATTTTGTGGTTATTTTTTTACATTTAAAAGACAGAAATGTGTCAAAATAAATGTTGAAGAATATACTCTCTGGTTTATTGAATTCTAGAACCTCACCTTCACAAGAATAAGTAGCGAATTTCTTACACCTACTACTCTCTTATTGCTTAGAGAATTGCAAGCAATAGAGAGATTCAGCTCTCGCACAGCTGCCTGCATACAACTTACTTCAAAGTAATGCAAAAACTGAAATATATTAAATACAATTTAGAATCAGACCAGGAATTATAGGGACTTTTTAGTCCCATTTGACATGTAGAATATCCCCTTGAAGTATTGACGTTCACAGGACATCCTGTATATTGAAAACCTTATGTTTTGTATATAAGGCATTGTTGAAATGAACCATCCTAATTTACCAGGTGTTGTGCTCATCTAGTACATAATACCATTCTGGAACAAAAAATTGTTAATCTCCAAATTGACACATATAGCACACTTACCTTGGTCTATCCAATGTCACAGGAAACAATTGTTGTGATAAAAAGTTGGATTGTGAAAAAGCCATGCTTGATTGTGAAAAACCTGGTTTGTTTGAAGGATATGAGTGGTTTTTTTTTATAGGACTGCAGACTGGTATCGCTGCTTTAGAATTTTTCAAACACTCCTTACATATTCATTTCATATGAATGACTATATGTGTGTTTGATGTTTTATTTTGTTACACTAATAATATAAAACATGCCTTTTTTAATTCTAAAAATTTTTGTTATGCCTGTTGAATGGTTATTTGTTAAAATCCGAACAGAGTAGTTAGGATTATTTCTTCTGAACAAGTATTAATAAGAATTGCCTTTTGACCATCAAATATGTTTTTTGTACTGTTTAATATTTGTTATTTTTACATTTAGGGAAGGAGGCTCATTTACAACATTTTCAGAATCACTGGCACAGCTCGTGTCAAACCTTCACGCGATTTTGGGCCAGTTGCTCAAATCCTGTACACATTTTAATTTGATTCCTCCCCTGCTTCATACGACTGCTGCGTTAATTTCTGTCAGCCCTTACAAAAGGCTCGCACCTTTGCTTCTTACCAACATATTCAGGGTTATTCAAACATACATAAATAGTAAAGGTGAGTAAAGGACATCTGAAGAGAAGGATTTTTTTTTTCAATATAATTTTTGTCTTATAGATCCTGCAATCGCTTCTGGAGTTTTGTTGTGTATTACAGAAATTGTAATACTCAACCCTATTTCCAACGAGCAGAGAGACATTTTGACTTCAGGAGCCACTGATGATGAACCGTGTTGGGTGTTTACTCACTGCATAAATATTTTGAAAGTAAGAACTTGGTGAAATTTGCTAAATTGTAAATTTATTTATCTAATGTACTATTTATTTTTAACTATGTTTGTAGAAATGTGTCTTTGTAATATTACTTTTATCCATCTTTACTCTTGTTACAAATCAAATATTTTGGTTTGCCTATCCTCATTGTTTTGGTCTTGTTATCTTCAGTGTACATAATATATGTTAATAACAAAATTGTCTAATCTTTGTTTCTTTTTTGTTCATGTATTTATGCATCTCTTTTTGTTTCTTTCTATGTAGTATTCTAAGAGATTCTTTTATTTTGTAGAATCCTGAAAGTGAAGAAGTTAAAAAAATCGGAGCATGGCAGTTATTAAGTGGCCTTTGTCAGTGTCATTATGACATGGTGAAATTGCATCTTCCTATACTCGAGGATAACATTTTGAAAAGTCTTGAAAATATCACCGATAACAAACTTCAATATTATGTCGCGAAAACGCTGGATTACATTCTCGTAAAAGTTCTTTATGATGGTATTATTTTTTATTGCTTATATTTTGTAAGATTTTACGGTTTTATTTTTATATGTATTTTAGAAGGAATGTTCCTGTACAGGAAGGAACTTTGGACGAAGTTGATCAAAGGACCTTTCATTCCGATGGCTCAAAGCCCGACTAAAATAGCATCCCTTGCTTGTGACTGCCTTTCAAGTTTGGGGCCGGATATTTATCACACATTGCCTGTAAGGACTTGATTATTAATGGTTTTATTTTAATATTAATTTTTTTATTTTTAAAGGAAGATTTACAAATATTAGTGATAACACTCGTGATTGGTTGCTGCTACAGCGACTTATTCGGTGTGAGGGCAGCTGCGATAAACACTCTTGGCATGTTTCTTTTATTTCCTCAGATGATCAGCGTGAGTTTTAACTGATTTCTGAAATAATAGACCAATTAAAAATAGAAAATTTCAATTTTAGGAACAGTTTGTTCATGATACTAAAGATATACTTATTAAAGCCCTTAAAGATGGTAATGACCTGGTGAGAAGTAGGGCTTCTTGGTCTTTTGGAAATTTAATTGAATTATTGAAAAATAAGTAAGTTATTTATAAATAAACATAATATTTTTTTTATTAATTTTTATTTTCAACAGTGATCGACAGCTTCTTAGAGAAATGTCGCTAATGAAATTATTTGAAGCTGGTATTTCAGTTTTCAACGATATTCAAAAGGTAAAATATGAAAATTAAAAAAAAAAAAAATTGTAATTGGAATATATTTTAGATTAAGGCAAATATTTTAAGGGCCATGGCTAATTTAATGTTGCTAGTCACAGAAGAAGATTTAGAGAATAATGAAATAAAAAGGGTCGTAATCAAGTCCGCAAGTTTTTTTGTGAATTGTGCAACAACAGGAAAGTTAATGAAGGTATTCAGCATACAAATATATTTTCTAAATATTGATTTAAATAGTGAACCGCTTCAACCAATTTGTGGATGCCAATGCATTTATGGGCCAATCTGTCAAAAAACTCTAACTTGTTATTACTCCAACAAGTCCTGCAGAGGGGAGCTAGATTCGCCCAGAAATGTATTGACATCAATAAATAAATTGGTTGAAGCAGTTTGCTATTTATTTGTCTGAATCTCTCATTGAAGAAAACACAAAAAAGGATGAGTAGTAATTTATTGATTTAAAATTTATTTGTAGATGCGGTGGAATGCCTGCTATGCCATTGGTACTATGCTTACCAATGAACTATTATATTCAATATCAAATGATTGGCTGGTAATAATCATTATAGAAAATAAAAAAATAATAATACTAATTAATAATCTCCATAGGGTTCTATCATTCAAAATCTCTGTTTTGTCCTCCTAAAGTGTGGGAATTTTAAAGTAAGGATAAACGCTTGCAATGCCCTCTGCTCAATAAAGAGTCGTGTACATTTCACACCATATTATCATTTTGTTATGACTTCACTCCTCGACGGGCTCGATAATGCGGCAAACATGACTGATTTTCGGGAATTCAAGCACCAAGACGACTTGAAGCAAAAAGTATTGTAATAAAAATCCTTGTTTGTCATTTATTAATTAAAAAAAAACCCTATTTTTCAGCTTTGCTTCGCCATTTGTCACATGATTAGCATAGCGACGAAAGATGATGTCGAGGAGCTAGCGGATCTGATGAATTACCGGTTCGAGAGTCTCAAATCCAACATGGAATACTTTATTAACTGTGCTCCACCAGAAAAGACAAGCATTGTCTTAATGGCCGCTAATAACATTTCAAACCTCAAATCTAAGTCATCGGTGCATAAACAATTTTTAAACTTACTTCAAAAAAACCTTGAAGTAGTTTCGTCACAGTCGACATATTGACTGTGATAACGTCAAAGTTGTAAAAAGTGATATAGAAAGCCTATTTATTTTTTGCAACCAAAAAAATAACAGATATCCATTTTGCATTTTTATATAATTTATTTACTTCTTTTTTTTTTAAAAAAAAAAGAACATTGTATGTATTATAAAAGTATTTATATTTAATAAGCAGTTTCTTTTCTGTTTGTCAGTCCTAATAGATAGATGTATACTCCGGTCGGCGGTCCGAAGTCGTTAAATGTAATGTACAATATGCTGCAAGTGTCTTTAATCAGTCAGTCCTAATATATTTGAACAAAAACAAAGAAATTATTATAATTTATTTTGGAAATTAAAGCAAATAACTTCTAAAACAGATCTTCAAGTTTTTGCACAATGAATGTGCTTTGGTCATTTGTGATCCTGGTGTGCCTATTTTTACCATTTTGGTCGTTCAGATGTGTTTCAGAAGTTTGCCTTTTTTGTGTATGTACAAATCCATGCTGAAGAAACAAACTGAGTCATTGAGGACAAAGGAGGCAAATCAGAGATTATCAAACTCATCAACTACACCTATTTGACCCTAGAAACTAAGTTTATCAATAGATTACTGCAAAAGAAGGTTTCATGTTGATTTTATAGAGAGTACAATTTTTAGAACATCAGCACATAAAGTGCTCTTAATATACTGATGTATATAAGATGTAAATAATCCACAGAAAATTAGAGTTCTTGTTAAATACCTAATAATTCCATTATTCTCTTACTGTAACAATATTTTTTCACTTTCCTTACACCCTGATTCTTCAGATAGTGATTCAACATCAGAACAGCTAGAAAAACCTTTTATATGCAATAAAATTTACAGGGCAAAAAGGATAAAATTTGCTTGAGGGCATGTAGATAAATCTCTGGACTCATGTAAAAATATTATTGCTGATTAACAATTTATATAAATGCATTACAGTTCGTGGTCCGATTGATCAGTTAACATTTTTCAATTAATTAATATTTATCAAAGGTATTGGTCGAGATAAAAAAGTCAGTCCTCAGTCTTATCTGTCCAGGCACTGAGGTTGGGCTCCAGGGGCTATCAAACAGAATTTCAGCCCCCAACGCAATCAATCTCTAAATCTTATTTACATACCATTTACTCAGGGTGGTGGAGTACTGAAATTTGTCTATTATATAACTAACCTAATTAAGGGTCAATGGTGTACTCAATATTTCGCCATCAACCCTCTCAGACTAACCATCATGCTAATAAATTAACAATAAATAATAAATAACATACACTTTCACCCCCAAAAATATCAATACTATATGCAATAAAAGAACCCAGTTTCATCCGAAAATCGCTGCCTTGCATTCCTACACGTTTCTATTAAGGAATTCTAAGGAATTCTTTTCAATTTTATAATGTGAGACATATCGAGCAACCTTTCTCTACATTTTTTGATCTGATGGGCATGTATTCGTTTAGAGGAAACCAAACTGAATATCAAACGTTAAAAATGTATCATCAACTCTGAAGCATGTGGGAGCAGTTAGGTGGTAGTAGCATGCAAAACAGGAATCAGTGAAATAATAGTTCATCAAAAGTATTCTGAACACTGAAAAATATACATACTGGGCCATAATTAAGGAAAAAATCCAAAATATTTACTTGTTCCAACAAGACAACGACCCAAAACGCACAGATAGAATAACAAAATAATACTCATCTCCACAGCTAAGAAACTCCAAAAATTTAAATGTCCTCAAGGAGTGAGCTTACAAGAAAATGAAAAGAAGGCATGGATGGAAATCATACCTTGTATGCAAAAAGGTTACAAGTCTTAACAATGTAAAAAGATTGCATACAAAATGTTTAAAAAATTGGAAAATGTGTTTTTTTCTAGTTCTCTAAGAGTATGAATAATTTTTGGAGCTCAAAAATGTCATTTTTTTATTTTAATGTAAACACATACATTTTTTTTTAAACAATTACATGAAATGTATTGCTGAATTGTCTTATTGTCCAATGAAGGTTTTAGTTACAAAATAATATTAAAGAAAGAAATACACAAAACCATGTGTATGAATAATTTTTTGACCCATTGTACGTAATTTATTTTATGATGACAACCAGAAAAATAAACAAGATGCTAGGAAGTTACGGTAATATAAAATAGATGTAATAATGAAGAAAACAGAATCAGCGACTATTATGAAATGATCACCTAGCGTCATTTTGCTTGAAAAAATATATAAAATAAACAATAGTTGATATAAGTAAAACAATACGCAGGCAAAGAATATTTGCCAGCACAAAAAAACAAATATTATTTTACAATTAATTAAGGTTTTTAGGTTTTAAATGTCACTGGGGTTGAGATGGGGAGTTGATGTCCGAGTGGATCGAGGTCACGATAGCTCAGGTGGTAGAGCAGCTGCGTATCTAGCCGAAGGCCGTGGGTTCGAATCCCTCTCGTGTCATTAACTTTTTTCATCTCAACAAAAAGTCTTAATTAATTGTAAAGTATTAATTGGTCAAGTGGACCACGAAATTAGTGAATTTAATAAATATTATTATTGTGTCTTAAATTTTATTATGCATGCAGTTTATTTGTAACATTGAAACCAATACAAAGTATTGGAATAATAATTCAATAAAATACATATGTTCATTCAGTAACAATGGTAAAGTAGAAAGTATTGCCATAGAAACGTATAAACTACTTAATTGGTACAAAGTTAGATATTAGAGTAGTTTCAACATTTAAATCACAAAGAGAGATTAAAATGCCTAGGTAAATTTTTAAAACTAATTTAATAATTTTTTAATCACACAAATTAATCAAAACAAGAAGGTAAACTGTTATGATTAAATTATATTTAATTTCCAGGGAAGAGATAGATCCTTCAAGGGCTTTAAAAGCTTTAGCCCCACTGCCTAGACGCCCTCCGAGATTCACACTTGAGGAATGGCATTTAACAAATATATCGAGGTTCAAGGATATCCTCGCCCAACAGAAACTCGCGGACAGGATGCTCACTGAAGCCGAACGGGTAATCGACCTTACGACCGACAGTACTGTTAAAAACAAGCTAGAAGTTGAACACCAGCTTACTGTGAAAATCCGCGATATCGAATTTAAAGCTGAGCAGATCCAGAGCCAGAAGAAGAACATAGATATTGAGGTTTTTTCTAGTTTAAATAAACTGATGTACGAAAAAGTTCCAATGAATTTTTTTACAGATTGAAGCTTTAAAAACCTATTCAATAAGGCTTGAAGATGCCCAGGCGAATTTGGGTCACAAAGCTCTTGAGATCTGCAAAAAATGTATTGTTCTCAGGTAAATAAAAATATCAAAATAATAAAAATTAAACATTAAACCTTACGTATGTTGCAGAGAAGGCAGATTGGGTGTGGATCTGTGTATTGATGAAGTCGATCTTGCTCTTGCCAATGAAATGCATGTTATTAAAAATGTCCAGGGGATGATGATGAGACTCAGAGAACAGGTCAAGGAGCAGGTTCGCAGGCTGAGAGCTATGAACTACTCTCTCAGCCGTGACTTAGAAGATAAAAATAATGTAGTAAATATCGACAAGCATAATCTCACGCTCAATGAAAAAAGCATGTGCCTTTCTATTTATCACGGATCAGCCCGTCTGGACCCAGCGTATGTTTATTAAAGAAAGAACCATTAATTTTTGCTATTTAAAATTTGAAATGTCCAGGTCGATCACACAAGATGAATGGGAAGGGCATACGATAGACACTATTGAAAAAGCTGGCAAAGAACTTAACGCTGGACGACCCCTGAGAGCTTACATTGATGTGATCCTTCAGCAGATCATAGAGGATTTGTGGAAGCAATATGACATAGTAAACGCTGCTTTCGCACGGCGTATAAGCGAATACAGAGAGTTGAAAATAAAGCTTGAAAATTTACATTTTGAGGTAATTATATTTTTCGTTTTTTTAGTCAGATAAATTCAGCATTGAAATAATTTTATCATAAAAATACAATTATATTTTTTGTTTGGAAAAAGACGGTGAGACAAGTTAATGAAATGACGATGAAATTAACATCTTTGAAAAAAGCTCTCGCAGAAAAGGAAGGATTCATGGCCTTGGCACACACTCGGCTCGGGAACAGATGTCAACGCGTTAACTTTGAACTTTGCAGGTAAATCTTGAAAAATGATGAGAATTTTTCCACGATATTGAAAAAACCCCAACCTTTTTGTAGAGACGAAGCAGAAACTTATCTTGTCAACGAAGTACATCAACTTAAGGATAATGTTGGGAAACTTCAAATGATGATTGAAGAGGTTTGTTTGATAAATTTTCATTTCCAGTTTAACTTTCATACCACATTCTACTTAATTAGCCTAAAAAGGTCAACTTTCCTGTGCTCAAACCTTAGAACATAAGAGATAATAAAAGAAAAGTTTATTTGTAATTTGATCCTTACTGATCATCTTGGTCTGCTTTGCTTGGTTGGTCTATCAGCATACTGAAGAGGGTGGGAAGGAAAAATTAAACACCCGACAAACTAACCCAGCGAGTACAGGCAGACCAAGATGCTGCAGTATGGATAAGTGTACAGGTTTACCAACATCTTACAACTGGATTTAATTTTCTCTGATTAATACAAGTATTAATATTTTATTATATTTTAACAGACGCAGGCTTCCCTACGTTATCTTTTGAGGGCTCAAGTCCAGTTGGAAGAGGATATCAACGTGAAGACCAATTCATTAAAAATTGATGAAGTTGACTGCATGTCGCTTCGAGCTGGAATGGACTATCATGCGTACTAGGCCTTTACTGTGGAAATTAGTAAAACAACAGCAACAATTTTTTTTTAAACATATGTATTGTTTATTTCATTGGAAACTTTTAAAATATATTCTTAAATTCGTAGGTGTGTTTTTTGGACATGAATTTTATACATATGGACTAAGAAAAAGAAAAATGTTTACAGTATGACATTTTATAAATTTATTTATTTAATTTTTTTGTGATGGTATCACAAATTTTTATGCTATGTAAAATAAGTGGAAGAACTGAATCTGTCTCTTTTGTGTTTGTGTAAACTTTAAGAGCACCACTTTTAAAGAAAAAATATTTTAAACATTTAATACATGAGATTCTTTGTGCTTATTATTATTATTATTATTTTTTTTTTTTGCTGAAGACTGGAAATAAAAATGCAAAAGACTAACCAAAAATAAATATTACATAAAATCACAACAATAATTTTCCCCATTAATAAACAAAATATTGTTTTGTAAAAATAAACAACATACACAATAAAATATAGACAACAAAAAATAAAATCTATTTGATAGATTCGCTTAGAGAATCTGGAAAAAAAACAAGCCACAAATTTTCAACCCATAAAAAAACCCCACCATTTTTACTAGAATCTAAAATAAAACCATTCTCACACTTATTAAGTACTTTTAATGTTTCATGGTTGTTAAGATAAATAGGCCAAACAGTCTTGTTAATACAGATAATTTTGCACCTGTATTATATGACCTCAGTCTTAATTACAGGACTCTTTTTAATTATAATTACAAGTTACAAGGTGGCTCAAAATGAACTTTGTGCATATTGAAATAATATATGCTTGTGTCATGTAATTTTTTTTTAACAAGATATTTCTAAATCACTTGACATTATAAAAAAAGTTTATATTTAAACTGTAACTGTGATTAATACTTTTATCAAAGTTGTAATTTAATATTTACAATATTAAAAAAAAGGGGGAGCAAACGTTATATATTATATACTCACTTTATGTCGTGCAACATAAACTTTTTTTAAATGTAATTTTCTCTAAATTTCTAAAATTTAGAGAGTCCTGAACATTTGTTTGACCAGCAGCTAGAAAAATGGGGATTTATCACAGTTTGCAGAGGCAGAAGAGTAAAGGTAAGAAGGCCCCAAAAGCCACAAACAGTGGTAACATTATAGAAGAGTCATCAATCTGGTACGGATCCGGTGTCTTGGGACCGCTGGGACGCCGCGACTTGGCACCAATTTGCTTCTCCTCACTCTCCTCCCCCTTCCACTCTTCTGTGTCTGGCAATGGAGGCAGCTTTGGCACATCTGTACAAGCACATTTAAAAATAAATAAATAAAAATAAGTAAATTAAAATAAAAATCAATTCACTAGTTTTTGTGGTCCGCTTGTCCAATTATAAAAATCAATAACAATTTTTTTCAATTTATTAAATTACCTTCAATTTTTCCTCTCATTACATAAATTGCATTTACTTTTGGATTATCTCTATAACCCTAAAATAATAATATTAATTATTATTATATTAACAAACTAGTTTAAGAAAATAAATAAAAAACATACCTTTATAAACTCTACCCGGATTTTTCCACCCCTGATATCTGATTCTTCTTCATTGTAATAAAGCTTTCCATTGTTGACGCTGAAGCTTATGTATTCATCATGGGCGACACCCCTGCCAACCCGATCGAATATGTCTAAGTCAGCAACGATCGTATGATCACCGTTTAAAACTATGTCAAAAACCTAAAAAAGTACTTTTGAATGATTACTTGGACAGTACTAAGACAAAATAGATTTAAATATTCAAAATAAAGCACCAGAAGAATGTGTCTAAAGGGAAAAAAATTCACCAAAAAGTACATATAACTGAAAAATAAGTCCTGTCATTACTTAAGTGAACTCTAACACAATCTAAATTCACTCATCATGATTGACCTATTGACATTGAAGTTTAAAAATTCTAAAATATCAAATTGGATCTTTTTGTTAGTTAAATTTTTCTGAAATTTTACCTGAAAAGCAGGTCAGATAACAAATTGATATACCAACCAACTACATAAACTCTCAAAAATCAATTTTGGAAAAAAATCATTAGGTACATACTTTTTACTGATATAATTAGTATTAGTATTTAATATATGAATTTTATATAAAAATAATTATTACTCTCTCTTTTAATGTAACATTATATATACATTTTTCTGTTGAAGTGTAGTTGTAAAATATAGACATTTTTATTGCCGATGTAGCACCAAATGAAGGTAGTTTGTAAAATGAGCTATCAGCATTTACATCTACAAGTTTCTTATTTCCTTGAACTATCAATTATGAGAATATGATGACAAGTTGGTGCTTAAAACAACTGAATTGAATAATAATAATAGTAGTTAATAACAGCAAAGACATATAAAAAATTGTCCACTATCTATTAATAGCCTGATAATGTAAATCTTTTCTAACAATTTAATTTGACTTTCTAATATTGCTTTTTCCCTCAGACTTACCTTTTTTTTTTTCTAAATATTATAGCATGTGGCTAAAACCACATCCACTTGGTGTAAAAAGTTAAGGTAAAGAATGCTATAAATTATGAAACTACATTGGCTAGTATTTTATTGCTGAGAACATTATTTACCGACAAGAATTAAATCATTATATTTTCAGAAGTGTTAAAACTCCTTACAGAGTCAAATGAAATTGTTGATTTCGCAGTAATCAAAGCATTTTTCTGATTTTTTTTTATAATGTTCTATTTCAGTTTAAATAAACTAACTGCATGTGGCAAAAATCAATTATAATGAAATATTTGTTTAAAAAATTTACTTTTTGTTAAAACATAGAGGCTAGAGGTTCTTGGTTTGAACAAACCAATAATACAATTTAATATCAAATTAAATTCAATAACTAAGTAGAATAAAAAAAGCTAAAAAATTAAAAAGCCAAATAGTTACAAATAAAATATAAAAATACAATTCAGAGGAAATATTGTACACAGTCAAATGCCTGATTTTGAACTGTTTAAAAAGTGCAATGGTCTGCTATTGTATGGTATGTACATCGTTAAAAAGCTGCAATACTATTTTTTTTAAATGGTATGTTTAACGTTAAAATCCTCTTAGCTATTTGAATTATAGCCACTTCAATAAGATATTCTGATAAATGACTGCTTAAGAATAGAAAATATTTTAGTGGTCAAAAATCGATAGATTTAAATTTAAACAAAAATTTATATTTAGGGGTTTCTAGCAGTGCTAAAACTAAATTTCATATTTGTTTCACACAAAAATTATGACCTAGTTTGCTTGAAAAATATTTGGTTTTTGAAATTTTTTGGTTATTGATAAACTTTGATAGCTTTTACTATGTTTTTATTGCCATCTACATAAACAATGCTGTAAAATGATATATTCACATAGTTGAGTTGAGCGAAAAATATTAAAAAAACAGAAAATTTCAACTTAAATTTTTTTTTGACAAAACCAGGGCCACAAAGTAGTGGCAGATACGTGTCCAATAGTATGGAGTGTAGAATCACAGAAAAGTTTGGTCCAAATCCGTGATGTCCAACCTGGTTGTCCCCTTGCTAGTTTAAAAAGGATCTTAGAAAACTTAAGGCTAAGTGTAACACCTCAAAAAAAATCCCTGTTGTTAAGCATAGTGATTCCACTTTTAGGGTTTAGGTAATAATAGGAAATAATAATTGCCAAGATCATTTCTTGGCAGAATAAAGTAAAAAGTTACAATGCATATATTTCACCCAGAACTTAAACCCTTTGTCAGATATAAAAATAAATTTTGAAAGAGAAAAATATTAATTGCAACTGAAAAATTATGAAAGTATGCTAGCATAGTAATAAATTTTTGTTCATGTCGTTGCGCAATGTAAGAATTCTTCAGAGTTGAATTTTAATAAAACAAGAGTCCAACGTGAGACTCCATATGAGTTCTGAGTTTGAAGGTAAGAATGACCTTTTTTATCTTGCAAAGCCATGTGATGATATGGAACATGCTTTACTCGGCTCTCAATGTAAAAATAGGAAATAATAATCGCCAAAAAATCATTTATTGGCAGAATAAATCAAAAAAGTAACAAATTAATTATACTTTTTGTCTAGAGTCTTGGTTGAGATAAAAAAAGCCAGTGGCACTAGTGAGATTCGAACCAGACCTTCAGGTCAAGCTGCTGCTCGAACGTCAGGATAGCTCAAGTGGTTATATGGTTGGTATAATTAATTAATATTGTTAAGTGAACATATGGATAAGTAAGAAAGTAACAAAGCAAAATGAATGTATTGTAATAGAATGTAATGTCACTAATGTACCCAATTTTATTAGGATCCATCTGTTGAATTTCTATGAAACAATGGCTAATTAAATACCCTGTGTACGTTCTTCAAAACATATATTGTAGTATTCTTAAAACAGTAGGAATAAAAATGTATGGAATATTAGTAAAATTTCTCCTGAAAGTATATCAAAGTACAAATAAAAGCTACTGTTTCCAGGTTAATGCTTTGGAATAATAAAGGATGTTGTTTTTGCTTTTCCATGACAGAATCGACATCGTTGAGGTGGTAATTAAATTGACCAGTATAAACGTACAACAAAGGATACATATAAAGATCTTTTTTAATATATACAATATAAATGTATAAATTAACGAGAGTTTCCTAAGTCTCATTATTTTTCTATTGTGTGTGCTACATTGTAGCTTAATGTCAATGAAACTCAGATTGTAGGATTTTCTGGTTAGTATTTAACATGATCGTGCAATGCAATGGGTTCTGAGCTGAAAAAATGAAAGACATCTTGGATGATAGATCACAATTTTTCCAAGTCGCAACCTTTTTCCTTCCTGACCTAATTGCCTATGAATTTGTGAAATTTTTAAGTGTAACATACCTGGGAATGAAAATGTATGGAATATTAGTATTAGTAAATGATTGTATGTACAGTTTGTCCTGAAAGTATAGAAAATGTACAAATAAAAGTTGATTTTGATATGGATTTTTTTTTCCTACTGAGATAAGATAAATTAAGAGGTGTAGAAGGGGCAAGATTCGAGAGATAAGATACCTAAAGACAGACGAGACGATGACCGATACTCACTTTCATGTTTGGAGCATTGAAGTAAACCTCGCAGAACTTGAGTACCATGACATAGTCACCATCGTGATTGATGGGTATATCGTAGCCAAATGTGCTGTGGTGGTACCTTTCTGTCTGGTAGAGTATCTGGTCGTTGGGTGGGACCCTGGCTATGAGCAACTGCTTCCCGTAGTCGGAGGGTATGCCGACTTTTCCGTAGAGCGGATCCCTTTCGAACCGGATGCCGAAGATGTCCGTGTGCGTGTCCCCGCCGGCGTTTATGGCGTAGATGATCTCTCCGAAGCTGACGACGTCGCTCACAGTCGCCAGCAGCGTCGTCAGAAGGAAAAGGAAAGACTTTGCTATCACTTTGAGGAACATCACCGCTCCCGAATCGGGCCGATCCGTCCTTTCCACCGTTTATCCTAAAACTCAGGGACGTCTCAGGTTCAAAACTTCCCTGGAACGACAAATCAGCATGTAAACATAACCAGAGAACCTACAAGTACGGCCTTATCAATAACACGAGTTACCTCCTACTTGATTCTTCTCCAACTTTCTCTTTCCAACCTCGATTAAAAAAAAAAAAAAAAAAATTGCCTTCCAACGCTAAACCGACATTGAAATTTAAAAAATTGTAAAAAAAAAAATCCCTAAGGCTAAAATAGCGGCGACTTTTTACTACCCCGACAGCACCCTTACAACAGGTAATTTCTTGTAATTCCCTATTTAAAAAGAACGTTTAACATAAAAAATACTTTCTTCAATTACTAACAATTCCTATACATTAGAAATACTGCACAATTAACAAAATAACTTAATTATAATCATAACAGTAAAATGAACTTAGTCTAATTAATTATTTTTAAAGCACAAAGCTAATAAAAAACACGTGGATTTCTAGCATACACAAAAAACATTATGTTATGTAATGAAGGTTCCGGTCAAAAATATATCAGTGGTGACGGGTGTGTCACAAGGATGTTTCCTAAGGCCCTTCTTTTTATTCGACAATCAAGCCTGTAGTTCAGATTTACAATATTAATTACCGATCTTGCTTTGAGTATGTAATAAATAAAATCAAACTAGCCTTAATTGAAGGTTAACTAAGTCCCTTTTCAATTAATTATCTCGCTTTGAACATTTAATAAATAATAATAAAATTTGCTTTAATTGAGGGTTTCCTGAGTCGCTTCTCGTTTTTATCCAGCATGCCCAACCTGTATTTCAGATACAATTTTAATTAATGTATGTATTTTCTATTTTAAACCACTGGTCTTTTGGTCAATATTAATAAAGTTGAGAAACCACAATATCTGTGGTAATTATTCGGAAATCGTGAGATGTGGTCTGGTGTGATGTAGATTTCAGAAAAACATTTTCTTTATCGTGCCACTTATAATAATCATCGACTAATGTCACTAATCACCACACATCTGTGGTAGTGTTGAAAAAGGTTTATTTAAATCCTTTAGTATGTTGTATGTTTTGGAGTTATTTCCAAACTTCAGATTTATTAAAATTATTTAATCTTACTAGTAAACAAGTTTATTTTTAGTCATTTAGGCTATGTATAGGCACTACTAAACTTAGTACTACGTACACTAGGTACTACTAAAACTGTTAATAATAGGATTTAAAACCACTGATGTTATTTTCCAACATTACTAACATTAATTTTGAGAATTTACAAACAATAATTCAAACTAGCTTATTGTTAACTAATTAATTTTTCCTGAGTTGTTTCTCATTTTTATTCAGCATGCAAAACTTATATTTCAGATTTACAATTTTAATTAATGCATGTGATTTCTATTGTAAATCACTGGTTTTTTGGTCATTAAGATTAACCATAGCTAATATTAATAAGGTTGAAAAAATCACAATCTTGTTTTTCAGTTTTACTAACATTAATTTTTTATAAATAAAATAAAACTAGCTTTAATTAAGAGTTACCTAAGCCCCTTTTCAGTTTTATTTACCAACATTAATTACTGATCTTGCTTTGAGCAGTTAATTAATAATAATAAAACTACCTTTAATTAATAGTTTCCTGTGTCCCATCTCCTTTTTATTCAACAAATCAAGTCCGTATGCATTTTTCCGAATGATGAATCAGTATTTAAGCTACTTTATTTGGCGTCACATAATATATCTGTAAAATGGACTATGCCTATCAAAAACTGCAATTTATGTTAATGTACAGTAATAGAATTCTAACAGAGGAGCCGTTTACACAAATTTTTTTACAGATTCAGTTAAAGATTAATTATTGATCTTGCTTTGAGTATTGTAATTATAATAAAAAGAGCACTCTTTAATGTTGCCTTTCCAAAGGGCGACGTTTTCTGGGCTAATGCTTCATAAAGGATGTTGTTTTTGTTTTTCCATGACAGAATCAACATCGAGGTAATTAAATAAATTGACCAGTATAAATGTTACATGGTTCGTTGTAGCTTATTATCAATGAAACTCAGATTGTAGGCTTTTCCTGTTAGTATTTAATATGATCGAGCAATGTAATGGGTTCTAAGGTGAAAAAATTACAGACAGGCTGATCACAAGATTTCCCAACTCTCATTCTTTTCCTTCCTGACCAATTGGCCTATGAATATTGTGAAGTTTTTAAGTGTAACATCGGAAACAATGTGGGCAAATAAATTATTGATACTAACTTTCTGACATAATTGAATCTTGATTAAACGTAGGAAATACTTTTAACTTCTAAACACCACAAGAAACAGTCAAGAAAGTTTGCAAGTCTCATACATTTTTGTATACGTTACTTACTAAGGTATACTAGGTAGGTGTTGGTAAATAAGATTAAAAAACACACCTGAAAATATATATTTATTAAATCAATATTTTTTAGAATAAATAAGTTTTTTAAATCACTCTTCAATTCTCTCATTTTTATTGAGATATGTGAAAAAGTACGTTTAAATTTCTTTATGAAAGCACTAGTTTATGAAGCTTTTAATTAATAGGGTTTGCCTTTCAATTGCGACATTGTTTGGATGGAATGTAATAGAGCAAAACATTACGCAAAAGCATAAAAATTGATCATATTTGACATGCATAAAACAATTTGGCAAAAAGCATACAATAAGGAGGAATGGAGTATTTTTTTCTAAATTTCCAAATGGACAGTTAATAGAATTTAAGATGGCCTGCTTCTACAACATTAAATAATCTAAATTCATTACTATAGAAAAAAATAAAAAATAAGAATTAATTACAATAACACTTAGCTTTAAAAAATTATGTAATGGTTTGAAAAACTTAGCACATAAGATATTTTATATAAAAAAACAAATAGACAACGATGAATGACTAGCATTTTGGCACAGAAACAGATTTGGCACATTTAAATTATAAAAGTACAATCCCGTGGTCTCTTTCCAAAGTTCTTTTTGCCTTGGTGGGTAATATTCCCATAGGATCAGCTGGAGTAGGAACGCCAGAAATTGTATTACAATTTTGTTGGTAGAATACTTGAGTTTGCCCACATTGGTAACCATAAGAGACTGTGTCTTCACCTCTAATTTAAAAATATGAGTATACATTTTAATTAATAAATTATTATAATGACTAACCTCACGAGTATATTAGTTATATTGGGATGCTGACTGAGGGTAAAGTGAAGAGTTGTTAACAACTCAAGCTGGTGTGGTTGGTAAGCGCCGCCTCTTTCAATTGGACCCCAGCTTGGATCCACAACTGCATAACTGTACTCACCTGATGAACTGATCGGCAAATGGTCCAAACATTTATGTAGTCTTTCTTCCACTTTTTTCAAGTTGTGGATACTTTTCTCCCACTGTAAGACAGAAAATGTGAATTATAAATATGAGAATTAAATTTAGTCTATAGGTACCAAGGTATGGATGTGCTCTGGATTTGTTGCAACTTCGTTATCTATAAGGAGAAGAACAGATGTGTTGTTGTGTCCGAAAACGTATAGGATCATCTGTACCAACTCATCATCTCCTTCAGATGGTTTGTCTTCATTTTTATCTTGACCCGATGCCAGAGAACTGCTCGCCAGTTCAAAAGCGGGCGTCTTCACCATACTCGGTGTTTTCAACATCTTCGGCTTAGACGAAATGGGCGTTTCTAAATTAATCTCTTCTTGAGCCAGAAGTGACAACTTAGCCATCAATGGTGTTAAAGGAACCCCTTGTGGCGCTATTAGTGGGTTGGAATCTAAAAGTCAGGTACAATTTTAATACACAAGGACGATTTATTCCATTTCATCTAAACAAAGGAATTCATTCAAATTAGTTTTTCTACTTTCATTAATACAAGTTCATACATTCACACCATGCAATCTCAATTAATACACTTATTACATTTATATATGGATTAGATAAGTACATTTATGCGATTTCACATTTTCTTATCTCATCTCACAAATAAATAACAATTTTATTTATATGTGAATGCACAAATAATATGCATACTGGTTTACCAAAATTTCACAAAAATCTAGATCTTGGTATGGTCTGGCTAAAAAACAATTCAATTGTTATCTGCCAAGCTTTTGAACAATTTCACGGTCATCTTCAGGGCAAAACAATCTTAAAGATAAAAAGTGACACAATTAAATGTTTTAAGTTTTGAGATGATGCCAGAGGAATTTTTTTTTAATGAAAAGAATTGTCTCTCCCATAGGAAGCCTAGCAATCTTTCTGATGTAACTTCTGGGACTTGATTTCCACTCGTATTTACCTCCTCCACACATGGTGGAGAGAAGTGCATGCCACATCAAAAGCAGGTGGTTTCACCATACTAAATTTTTTGAACATATTCAGCTTAGATGAAATAGGTGTTTTTAAATTAATCTCTTCTTGGGCTAGAAGTGACAACTTAGCCATCAATGGTGTTAAGGAACTCCTTGTGGTGACCACTAGTGAATTGGAAAAATTACTATTAAAATTACTTAATTATGTCAATTTGTAGACATCTGTAAGATTGTTTTGCCTGATGATGACCTTAAAATAGGTCGAGAGCTTTGCAGATAACAAATGAATTTGTATTTTCATCCAGACCATACTGAGATCCAGATTATTTGTGAGTAAAACAGTTGTCGATTCATCTAATGCTTTAAACAATTACCTGAATTTATGACATTTACCATTTCATTTATAATTAATTAAAAATTAATCTAATAAAAAACAGTGTATATTATTTTGTTATCGTTTTCTAGAAAAAACTCAAGTTTTGATAACTGTCACCTTATTTTGACATACGTAAATATTTTTGTCAAAGTCCAACATAAATTTACCATTTAGGCAAGACAGAACAGAGAGAACATGTTTCACATTACAATTACAAAGGGAATTCTAATGTTTACTAACATGCTGAAGGTTCGAGAAGCTCAGACATTGACATAGTTGTGTCCAGGCTTGAACAAGTCAACCAATAAATAGCAACATGATAATGTAAAAAAAAAATTCCAAAAGATTATCATGCTTTCTGGATTGTCACGATATTCACCTGTATTGGTTTTAAGTGGTAAAGAGAAAAGCCTTTTTGCTTTTTGAGTAGGCTTTGGGGGTTTGTCATTGGGTTCTGCAGTCTTCAACGCTATACTTCGAGGTCTAGCTCCTTCAAACAATCACATATTTTGAAGGAAAAAATGAATATAACAATTAAAAGCCTACTTGTTATTTAAAACAATAAAAAAAATTGTTAAGATAAAAGTAAAATTTTATAAACTCACTATTCTTTTTGACGCTTTCGGACTCTTTGAGGTTTTCATAATGGTGAGTAATTCTCGAGTTACGAAAGGGATATGAGACGGGAAGGCCGTTCGACTTGAACAGCGGGTAGTTTGGGTCGCAAATGGTGTTATAGTAAGGACGCATGTTCGTCATTTTACTTTCAACAGGTGAATCACACCACTTAGGTTTTAACGACGGGAGGCCAAAGCTATAGTACCTGAAATTCACCAATAATTGACAATGCTGCCAAATAGAAGGTAGAAAAAAAAAAGTGTGAATATTTACCTTACTGACAAAGCTATATTTTTTACAATATCATCAGTGGTTTGGGAATGTTTTTCTGGAGGTGGATTTGTTATTATAAAGTTGGAAGGTCTTATTGCTTCCATTCTAGCCAACTGTCTTGCCTTTACAGCATCTTTGACCAACTCCGGAATTTCGCTAGAATCAGATTCGTATGGTTCTTCAGGTACGGATGTGAATATTCTTGACATGTCTCTTTTCATGCCGATCCCATCTTTTGTTACTTTCCCAGACTGAAATATAAAAATTGTTTTAATCTTTTTAAAAAAATAGGGGGGTTCACATTGGCCGAGGACATATCAACCTCTAGGGTTCTAATATCTTTTTGATTGAAAAAGCCCATTTGGAAGTACTTTGGGTTCAAAACAGTTCCCTGTGCTGCTGAAATTTGAACTTCCAGTGATTCGCCACTGTATCAATGCCTTAACCATTGTGGCCACCAGTGCCCCCAAATATTTTTAAGACGTATTTTATTTTACTGTACTTTGCTATTCCCGTTTTCTTTCCTCCAGTTCTTGATCTCTTTAAGGCCAGTATGAAATTCTCTGACTTCCTCTCTGAGCCTCCTGACTTCAGACGCCTCAACGTAAATGACAAGAAGCTGAACACCGAGTGGAAGGTGGAACGGCGTCTCCAGATTTTGAGCTGGAAGCTGAAATATATATATTTTTTTAATTTAAATTATAAAGAATCAAGAGAAGCCTTGTCAAAAAAGGAGAAAACAATGAGCAAGACAAAACGATGAATATCAGAAGCTTTGAGAATAGGATTAAAAAGAAAGAATGAGGGTTTTTTCCATTTAAATGTTACCTTTATCCTGTAAGGGTCAGTAACAACAAGCTGTTTTGTTAAACTGTGGTTCAATTGCGTGGCGACGACTCTACAATAAAATTATAAATTTGTATTGTGCAGTAAAAATGGCATATTTGTGGTTATGTGTGGATGTGACGTATTTGTAACAGAACAAAAATATGTATTAATAAGAATTTCTCTTATTTACTTATTCTGATAAAGCAAAGTGCCACCAAGGACGCCTTCGATACTCTGGAATGACTGCAGTGCTTGGCAAGCCTCAAGGTATAAGGTGGTTGCACTCTAAAACATTATTCAAACGTAAATTAATAAAAAAATAAGATTAAAAAAAAACAACTTTATAATAATTTTTAAACCTGTTTACCTTGGGAATCTTAAGAGTAGGAATGTTGCCAAATGTGTTTGTCGCGAATTGCAATATTGGAAGGTAGACTTGTAGCAATTGAGAAAAACGATCTGTCAGACAATCATCCTCCTCCGAGAGCGTTGCTTGCAAAGCATCTATGTCGTAGTGGAATAGTCTTAACAATTTATACAGTATATCAGATCGTGTCTTAAGAACCATGTCTGGTATGTTTCTGTCAGTGCCAACACACTAATAATAATTACAAAAAAATTAAACTATTTATACTGACCATTCTCATTCAGAAATGACAATTTAATGTTTAAATCTTACTAATGCATAGTGGCCCATTTTCCGCACGGTGAATTTCCCGCTCTGCAATGATATGATGCTCGGGACTGAGAAGACTTCTGAGAAAAATTGTGTGACCCCCATAAGCTGACTGCACAGATAATGCCTTTGCTCGGAGTTAACCCAAGTCGGATAGAAGTACACGATGGCGTCCAATGGGTCATCGCTTTCCGTTTTGCACAGTTCAAAGTCATAGAGAAATATCAGTAACAGTTCCCTGTGAGATAAACAAACAAATAAATAAAATAAAATAAAACAAATATATCTTGCTTACTTGGTCATTATGTTTGTTTCAATTGTTTTCAAGAGAGGAAAGAGTGGGTGATGTTTTTTTTTTTATGGATGATTACATAACATAATTTGTGTCCAAGCCTGTCTGGTGAACCAGGTTCAAACTTCAGAGTTCAGAGATAAAACCCATGAGCAGAGAAACCTCTTTCCAACCCCTCGCCACACCCCCCACAATGCAATCATTCCAACTCAATACTGATTTACCCCCATTTGCCCATTTAAAACATAATATTGCAACATGAACGATTTATGCTAAAAATTCATAAATTTATAATATGTTTTTTAATTTTTACCAACTTTCCAAGAATAAATTTATAAATTTGTAGGTTTAGTAATTTAAAATTGAAAAAAAAATATACTATTATATCAACCCAATAGTGCTTTAAATGGCCCCTAACTATTGTTGAAACTTTGTATGATTTTATTACATATATTTTTTAATTTAAGTATTTCTTCACATTGTTGTATTCAGTTGGTTCCAGGGCATTATTGCTCCTTTTTCATCTAAGTATTAAATATAAGAAGCATTTTATCGTAAAATATACATTAAAAATAAAATAGTTTAGGAGGAAAAAAAACACCAGGCATTACACAAAAAAATGAAGGTGTTATACACAACATTAGTTGCAGATACATGAGTTCAATAAGTAAATAGGACAATAAGAAGTATGTACTACACACAACAAATCAACTGACATACAAATATTTAACATCTATTTATGCATTTTTTATTACAGCAGGTTAAATTGGTACATTGGCAGACAGATTTTTTTAATATAATTTTTCCGCTAAACTATTTCATTTTTAATGCATATTTTAAGATAAAATGCTTCTTATATTTAGTACTGACTAGATGAAAAAGGTGCAATAATGCCCTGGAATGAACCAACTGAAGACAACTATAATATATAATAACTTTAATATAATAATATAAGTAACCAATAATATAAAACTAATATAATAATAATACAAAACTATAATATAAAACTAATAATATATATAAAAAGAGAATAACCTGACTATAAAACTTGAAACATACAAGAATTAATAATATCAATAACTAATAACTATAATATATAATATAAACAAATACTGTAAATTAAAAATTATATGCAATAAAATTCATACAAAGTTTTTTTTTATCACAGCAGGTTAAATTGTTTTTTTTATAAAATTTTTCCCCTAACAATTTAATTTTTAATGTATATTTTAACATAAAATGCTTCTTATATTTAATACTGACTAGATGAAAAAGGTGCAATAATGCCCTGGAACCAACTGAATACAGCTATGTAAACAAATCCTGAAAATTAAAAATTATGTATCATAAAATTCATACAAATTTTTTTTTATCACAGGAGGTTAAATTAGGTACATTAATTTTTTTATACAATTTTTCCCTTAAACTATTTTATTTTTAATAAATATTTTAAGATAAAATGCTTCTTACATTTAATACTGACTAGATGAAAAAGGTGCAATAATGCCCTGGAACCAACTGAATACAGCTATGTAAACAAATCCTGAAAATTAAAAATTATGTATCATAAAATTCATACAAATTTTTTTTTATCACAGGAGGTTAAATTAGGTACATTAATTTTTTTATACAATTTTTCCCTTAAACTATTTTATTTTTAATATATATTTTAAGATAAAATGCTTCTTACATTTAATACTGACTCGATGAAAAAGGTACAATAATGCCCTGGAACCAATTGGATACAACTATGTAAACAAATACTGTAAATTAAAAATGATATGCAATAAAATTCATACAAAGCTTTTTTATTACAGCAGGTTAAATTAGGTACATTGGCAGACACATTTTCTTTTAACACATGTTCATTATTTTTCAAACAATTTGCTTAAGTCTTTTACGCTTGTATTTCTCTGTCTTTAAATAAAATAATAAATAAATAAATAAAAAGATTTTTGATATGTACAAATGGGCTATTTATCCATGAATTATAAAAATTTACAATGGCTCTATAGATGTGGGTTGTCAAGCTAGGCGTGCTTAGGGTTACATGCATGTAGTCTACCAAAATCCAACCATCCAATAATTCTTAGAGCAGTGTTTTCGACTACCTTGAGCTTAGCCAAATTGGATGTAGACATATTTCCCAAAATGGAACAGTGTAACTTTTTAATGGTCGTATGTGTGGTTCATAAATAAGTTTTTTATTTTTACCGCCCATAATACTTATTAAAGTCAGGTTAAAGGCTTCTTAAGATGGTACATTCTTTTGAACATTTTTTTTTCAATGTGGTAACTAAAATTAAGTCTGGAATCCAGATATTATGTTTATTTACACTATCTCTCTGTAATCAAAAGTGGGAACAGAAAAAACACACAGTTAATGCTATTTGAAAATCAAATTAAAATACAGTTCACAAAGCCAATTTAATCATAGAAATACAATGAAAAAAAATCTTGGTAGAAATATTGAAGGTGCCATTATTAATGTGCTACAATTCTTTGTCTTAGAAGGTTGATGTATGAGTGGTAGCCTATGGGAGCATCTGAGTTATAAAGATAGTGTTTCTTCTGCCTGCTCCACTCCGGCGCTTTGATTATCAACTCGTGGAACCTCGTTGCAACTTGGCGCCATTTCTGACCCCAGGGTTGCTAAAAAAATATTTTTAAAAAATTGTTCACATGAATAATGACTCGATGTTTAATTGTGTAGTTGATATACTTACCTTTATATTGAAAAACGTTGGCAAGAGAGTGATTGGCAGGCTGACGCACGTGAACTCGTTCCTGTGGTAGTTACTGCATATCAAGTAAATAAGTTCAAACAAGGAAAGTAGTAATTCCAAGTGAGGCCCAGAAAGGTCTTGTTGAAGAAGCCCTAGAGCATCTGATGCCACTAGGTTTTCAGGGATTCCAGGGTTGTCAGCTGTTCTGAAAAAAAGTCTAGAAAAGCTTTTTGATCTCTTGGCACCTGACTAGTTGGTCAAACCCACAAACGTTCTCACAAATAGTGCACTACAATGAAATAAAAAAGCAAAGGAAGAGAACAAAATTTGTTTTACCTAAAACGAGTTGTTGCACCCGAACTGGTATAATCGGCTGTTTCAAATATCTTATGAATGTTTGAAGAGCTGAGGCACATTCTATGATAGTGCTCCTTTGCAGTAGAGGCTTGATTGACACTTTGTCACCTTTAATCATGCACGTTAATATTTTCTGCCTTGTATCACATCTTCCAGAGTACCTAAATAATCCTTCTTCTCTAAAATCTAAGCAAAGAAAATCCAAATAATGTGTTTATACAAGTCTTGATTTGGATTAATTAATTATATGGGTACATTATTTTTAAGATGAAAATGGGTTCGGTGGCTAAAATATAAATTCATAATATTTAAAATGAATGTACTTACTTTCTTTCAAGAATTCAACAACTTCCAAGGCCACAGCCAATGATTTGTCAGTAGCATTCATTTCGTTTTGCAAACTGAAATAAAAAGAATTAAACAATTGTTATATTGTTAAAGTAATGTTTGATTTAATGTTTAAGAAAATGAAACATTTATTTAGAGTTTTTTTGTAGGTAAATCCTAGTATAAACTATTTTAGATTGTAGATTATAGAGTGTAGTCATTCATGCTGTTTAGAAGCTAGTTTTTCTAATTCATATTACTATTTTGCCAAATAATAGTACTATTTCTTTAGCTATTTTGTTGTAGGCCTTGAAATATGTTATTCTAAATAATAAATAAAGTTGCTGCTGATTTGTTGTGTGGTCTTCTATCTGCAGGTTTGCAGATTTTTATTTTTATTAATGCCATTTTTTTCATATGATCTGGAGTCAGAATTGTTTTGCCAAGCCACAGCTTGACTTTAATGCAACCTGAGACCTCTATTATCCAAAGTCTGCAAGAAGATTCTTGGATTCTTATGCATAGTGCTGATTTCCTTGTTTTCTGATCTACAATTGTCTCTGTTAGTCTTACTATCTTGTAGAAGGATTCAAGTCCTGCCAGGTTTTTTAAATAAAAAAAAGTGTCTTATATAATTTGGTTTATTGTCAAATTAGAAGTTACATGAAGGATATGGAAGAAGTCCTTTGACAGTGATTTGTCTTTTGGTGGCATTTTTCACCAGCTCAAAAACCTTAAGTAGTGGATCTGTATAGAATAATGTGCAAAGTGTTCTGTCTAAAAAAAAAAAAAGATTCTGCCAGCATGGTGTGGTATGTCAGCAGAGGGCACCATTGTCTTGTGCAACTCCCAAAACTGCATTTGACTCAGAAGCAGAATTGTCTATGAGAGAGATTTTAGAGTACTACATATCTAAACTTCTCTGGAAATCACATGAAAGGCGAATGCTTTGTGTTGAGATGACAGTGATGATTGACATTGCAGAACATTCAAGTAGTGAATCTCTACGAAGAAAGACCACATGGAAAGATTTATATGAAGATGGGAGCAGTAGACTTAACACGCGCGAACTGCATTTGGTCCACAAGTATGAATCCAACAGTTTAATTGGGCGTTTTAATTTCCTGCATGTTCTCTTATATACAGTTCAATTCAGTGACATGCTTAAGGGTGAAAATTATATCATAGGTTGATATTGATACAGAGATCGATTTCAATGTCAAATAAATAATTTATTACTTTTCCCAACTTGCTTACTAATTGTTTAATATTGGTTTGAAAGATTAGGACAATGGTGGAGCATTTAGAACTTTTAACTGTTGCTTGATCAAAACTCTTGAGCAATGTTGACTTATAGATGTATAAATATCACTGGTAAATCTTTTGGTAAGTTAGTTTAAACAATTCTCAAGGAGGAAATAAGAAAATAAAATTGAGTTTTTGTTTTAAATTAATTTATTACAACTAAATCATTAGTGCTATATGTGCATATATAAATATTTAGAAGTTAAATAATATAAACAAGTCTTTAACAATATGTGGTATGTGAGAAAGGATCAGACTGTCCCAAATGAACGGTGGGGGATGATTGCTGAAGGGGCAAAAAACTGCTGGTAAGGGAAGGAGAAGATGGAAGAAGTGGGCTGCTGCTGTACTTGACTGTCTTGGGCACTCTCAGTGACGCTGAGTTCTGGAATGGCAAGTAGCTCGAAGAGAAGAGGTCGTGTGCGGCTGTAGATCCAAAAAGCTGAGACGTTTCCAGAGGGAGAGGCAGTCCGGAACAAGGAGGGCTGAGTGGAGAATGAAGAGGCAGATAGGGCGTCCTGAGCCTCCTGAGGCCGGGAAGCCTCCAGTCACCGCAGACGGCGGAAAAACACGCAACGACGCACAGAAGAACTAAACTGGTCGACTTCATTTTCGATTATGATTCAAAGCCAAAGGGGTTGGGCTTTTTATATACTTTATTTTTTGAAGAAATCACGTTCTAGAGGGAAAACAAATAACACGGCTGCAACGACTAAATAACACCTTGAGGGATAATCACATTTTTTTACTACACCGCGTCGGTTCCCACGTAATTATTTATTCATTTTATAAAACTGAGATTTTTCGTTTTATAGGAAATTTATCCAACTTTAGCAGGTTTTAATTTTACCTTGTAAATTTTCATTTATAGGAAGCACCCTTGGAATGTGCTTAACTACTAATGTACTTTCTTGAGTATGGAAATAAAGAAGGGTCAAGCCACAATAGATCACAGTGGAAGAAAGGGGCCAGGGATTTTCAAACTTTTTAGCTCTTTCACAGAACAAAATCCATGGCGGACCTCTCTCATTATTTAAAAATAGATATTTATACTATGTAGTAAATTAAAGTTTTATAAATTAGCCAGTCCATTACTAATGAAATGGCTATTTCTTATACTTTGCAAAAATTGTCTGTTAATTTCATTTATTCTATGTAAATCAATTTTCTTTTTTGCTTATTTGTGTCTTCATCGGTTTTATTTGTAACCTATGTTGACTTTATATCTTCTTTTTTCTGTTTTTTCTTTACTGTTTTATTATTCTTATTAATCCATTATATTTCGTGGTCCGATTGAAGAACTTTCAATTAATTAATCTTTTTATGTAATGTATTGGTTGAAATGGAAAAGTCAGTGTCACGAGCGGGATTCGAACCCACGACCTTCGGCTGTCCGAATCCCGCTCGTATCACTGACTTTTCATTTCAACCAATACCTTACATAAAAAGATTAACTAATTGAAAATCTTATTAATTTTAATTTTATCCTCGAGTATAAGTTAATTTTCATATTCAGTTTATGCTTTCTTAATTTTAGTTCTTTTTTATTGTTATAATTTGTAGAAGTGATAAATGTTAAGACAATTTAGACGTAGTGAGTAATTGTACTACTGTAATTAATAGTACAATTAAGACGCCATTGTACATATATTCTTGTTTCTTTTTGCAACGACCTCCGACAGACGGACTTAGTCCATTTGTATAATTTTTCTATTGTTGTAAATATTATTACTGCAAATAAAAGTCTCTCTCTCTCACTCGCTCTCTCTCACTCGCTTTCTCTCTCTCTCTCACTCGCTCTCTCTCTCTTTCTCTCTCTCTCTCACTCACTCACTCACTCACCCACTCACTCTCTCTCTCTCTCTCTCTCTCTCTCTCTCTCTCTCTCTCTCTCCCTCAGTCCATTACTAATTAGGTGATCACTGTGAAAACAAATGTTAGATTAATATACTCAATTTTGTTTATAAAATCCGGAACGCAAAAATCAAATTGGACAGTGGACAGAACGGAATCAACATGTAGGTCAAAATCGAGCCAAATTCAAAAGTAATAATTTTAAAATTAATGATTAATGAATTAACGGGAAGAGTGAGGTTGTTTTAGCCTGCACAATTTGGATATCTTGGGTTAATTTTTTAAAGTTGGATACGGATGTCGGGTTCAGCATCTAGACAGCTTATTTTGTTTTGGTGGCTGTACAGGTGGAAAATCCGGATTCGTATAACTTGTGGCAAATGAAAGAATACGTTTTGCTTTTTCAATGCGGAGCCAAAGATGGGGGTATCGGATTCGAAAGTAGATTTCAAGGTGGAGTCTGAAGTAATGTACATCAAATATTCGTATACACTTGAAGATAGACTGATTGGCTTTGTCAAAACTGAAAACTGTGACCACCATTCATGGTCTTCTAGCATTCTATATCGAGCTGTTTGGGAAGTAGTGCACAAAAGACGTCTCCAAATTTCGAAGGTGTTCATACATTTCATCAACCAACCTATCGTTTAACGCAGGAAAAACACTCCACCTCTTCCTTCTCAACAAATTCAACCCACACTGGATTTTACTTTTGAAGGCGCGAACTTTGTCATTTGTATCGAAAGTTGATACACTTCCCACGAAAAGAAAAACACATTTAATTCATTTTCATGAAAGTATCTGATAAATACGACAGTACACCTTGCCAATTCTTATATTTGAAATCGTTGGCCAATTTGAAATTGTGGTCCATCAACGGAGATAAGACTTCAGAATGTAATTACTGAACTGTAGCCACCTCAGTTCTATATGGAGAAGCAGGGAATGCTGAAGACTTCCCTTCGTCACACAGTATTGTGAAAAGTCGTGATTTCAATGGCCACGACTTGATGTAGTTAGTAATTTAAACCGTCTCATCCAAAACCTTCTTAAAATAGGATGGCATTATTGCATAACTTCATATCTGAGTACACTATGACTGCTGCTGCAATTTTTCGATTTATCTTTTATTTTAGTAATCACTCATGCAATTAGACCAAGGAATTTCGTTAGTTGTAAAAAAATCGTCCAACAAACTGAATATTCGGCACCTGTCGCATTGGCAGGAATGGTTTGTGTTAAGAAAAGATCCTCCTCGAACATCCCGAGTATTCACAACGGACAAAAGCTAATAAAATAGCCAACGCGACGACGTCAGTTGATCCATCGATTTAGAGAGAAAATAAATTGTGTAGGCTTCGAGAAATCTGCGATTCTTTCACATCATTTGATGATTTAAGTATCCGTCTTTTGACAGTATTGCATGATAATGGCACCAAACATAAATTTTACTGCTTTTTCGTCAAGTATGCAAGATACAATATCGTTAACACACGGTTTTATGAGGGTTTCAGCGGCACTACATTCCTGTGCCACTCGATAACTTATCAAGTAAGACCTTTTTGTGAGTTTCATTAACAGTTATGAGACTTAACGAAGGTTTGAGAAGCAGCCAGTTCAGTACGCTTCTTAATGAAAAAATCAGTCTGTTTCTCCGTGCGTTCTGGGTGTATCTCCTCAAAATGACGAAGAACCATTGAACTGTTTTGGACTTTCGGGCAAATAACACATTGGGCTTTACCCTCATTAGCCTCTACAAATCCCAAATCTAAGTAGATGTCGTGGTATTTACGCTTTTTAGATATTCCACTTTAACTGGTCGTTTGACCTGCACTTATTCGGAGGCTTAGAATTTGAGCGTGCTGGATCCTTCTGAGGTGCTCCATCCAAAGGCTGTTCTTCACTTGGCTTGACG